GTGTAGGGGTTCAGGGTTTAGGGACTAGGGTTTAGGTCCTAGGTCCGAAAATGGAGTTTCAGAAGGTCATGGTATTAGTAACAGAATAATTCCAAGGTTGGAAGTATGGGCGCCTAATATGGGACCTAAAGCTTTTTCGCAGGATTCTATCACTGTAGGTGTAAATAAGGAAGAGCAACAGGCATGGAAGAATAAGTGTAAGAGCAAGAGTTTTGGGGTTGAATGTGGTCCTGAAATATGGGACATATATTTGGCATAGTTCTTAGCACGGCAAAATAAAAAAGAATTTGAAGAACAGGCATCAGAATTGCTCCTGGTAGGACTCTAAAGGTAGTAAGTAGTATGGGAAAGTTCCTTCCCTGCGTAGCCCCAAAAAGGAGCCCCTAGATCTTTTGGAAACTCGATATGTCTTGGTACTGCGCAGGGCGACCACGTAGGAAGCTATGAGTTCCCTTCTTGCTGTCCTAGTCTTCCAAATGAAGACTTTAAGGTCAAGGTTTGTACCCTTTGTATTTTGGTCCCACATACCAAATTAAGGGCTCTGTTTCACGGCTTTGCGATCCAAACCTACAGTAGCCCTATATAATCCTCTATGACTCTATAACCCTATATAGCCCTATATAACCCTTTAGGGGTGCAAACCCAAAGGGTGCAAAGGATCACTTCCTCATGTTTGCTTGGCGTCTTCCCTTCCTTTGGCACAGGTGGCAACCGCGCTCCAGAAAGATTTGCACTACACCGTGGATGAGAAGAACATGAACGCCGTGCTGACTGATCCTTGGATTTGCCATAGGTAAGTGAAGTTTTTTGTTCCAAGCGCTGTTTGGGAGGCCCAGACAGGGGAAGAAGCAGGAAAAGAATCAATAATAGCAGGAGGGGAAAGAGAGAGAGAGAGAGAGAGGTGCTATAAAAACCAGCGTCATTACGTCATTAGTTCGAAGCGCAGAGCCAGCCGTCATGCTTGCGCACGCCTGCCCCCCTGTGCCCCTCAAAGCCGATAACTTCCAACCCGTAGAAGCATGTCGGCCCCTCAAATCCTATACGCTCTTGACCCATTCAACTTACTGGTTTCTTAGTAGGGAATAAGGGAACGCATTATGTAGGGATTATATAGGGGTTATGTTCCCTTATTTCCTATTAAGAACCAGTAAGTCAAGCCTTCGAGGACCTGGGCGAGAAAGTCGCGCAAGATCTGCTTGGTGTTGAGAATCTCGGTTGCTGTTAGGTAACATAAGCTAAGTTGACTTAGTGTGGACAGAAAGCGGATGACGGGATGTCCTTGTTATAGTAACCAAGTGGAAATTCGTCCATACTCTAGACAAAGTCTATACTTCCAGTTTGCATTACTTTTTCATTTTCTTTCCGTTTGATTCTCCGTGATTGAAAGCCAAACCCCTAATCCCTAAACTCCTAAACCTAAAAGCCCTAAACCTAAAGCCCCTAGACCTAAACACCTAAAGCATAAACCCCTAAACACCTAAACCCCTAACCCCTAACCCTAAACACCTAAGTACCTAAACCCCTAAACCTAAACACGTCACACCCTAACCCCTAAACCCCTAAACCCCTAAACGCCTAAACCTAAACACCTAAAGCCCAAACACGCCAACCCCTAACCCCTAAACCCCTAAACCCCTAAACCCCTAAACCCCTAAACCCCCTAAACCCCTAAACCCCTAAACCCCTAAACCTAAACACCTAAAGCCCA